TACTTTTGAAGCCTGTTCCTCTTTGAAGCACATTCTTCCCCAATTTCAGCATATCGACGAGGTCGGAGAAAGATAAGTAGGACAAAACCGAGGTGGGACAGCACTTTTGGGGATTTTGGGACAATTACCAGGTCGGAGAAAAGTAGGCCGGACAATCTAGCTACACCCTGTTTCAAGTTAGAAGAGAAGACACAGTTTAGCCAACGCCGATTTAACAATCAAATCTAACATCTGTCTGTCTGTCTGTCTGTCTGTCTGTCTGTCTGTCTGTCTGTCTGTCTGTCTGTCTGTCTGTCCTAGCCCACGGTGAAGTAATGCGAAGCAATGACCATAATGCTCCCGACGGCTTCAAGTTCAAGGTGCTGTGTTCAAAGAGGGCAGTACGACCTGGATAAAAAACTAAAGTGGGTAAAGCCCCCCCCTCCTCCCTCAATTTGTTTCATTTTAAAAATAAAACGAAATAACAACAATCTCAAAATAAGGCTAAACGTCTGAATTCCCCATTGCCCAACGCGACCACACCGAGAAGAAGGCGTTTCTTTCTCGCGAGTTTTTCTCCATTTTGCATGCAGCTCAGCGTTGGCGGGGCTGGGCTGCGACTGCGCGGCGCAACGCGCGGGCGCCACAGTAGTATAGGGCGGCCCTAATACCTGCAGACCGACCGGCGGGTCCGGCCTGTTATGTTTTAATGTTTTCAACAGTTGGTAATTTGTCTGCTCCAACTTTTATTCTTCTTCCACTGTACTTTTGGCGCCATATTGTTTTCCTGCTGAATGTAGACCCAATAAACTCCACTTCTGTCTGCGCCCTCAACTCGTTCACATCTATTGACTTGATTCCTCCGCCCACTTTTGATCGTCACCAGAACAGGTTATGGTACCCAGCACACGTGGAGAAGACTTGAAGATTCAGTGAGTAACTGCATCAAGAGCATTGCTATCTGTCACCAGCAATTATGACTGACAATGGAAATGGAAATGGCAATGCTAACGGCGGGGCAGGCAGGAGCGTCTATGTTGGTTCGGCCGCTAACTTAGGCGAAGGGGAGAAACTACGTGGTTCCTCCAATTACCACTCTTGGAAGTTTCTCATGAAAGGAATTCTGATTTGTGAGTCCTATTGGAAGGCCGTTTTGGGAACGGAGACAGATGCTGAGAAGAAGTCTCGAGCATTTTACAAGATTGTATTTAACTGTCATCCGCAAATTCACTCTTTGCTGTTGAATTTGGAGTGTCCAAAAGCTGCTTGGGACAAGCTCAAGGAGCTTTATGAGAAGAATACTGGAATGGGTAAGGTTGCCCTGCTGCAACATCTGTTTTCTTGCAAACTGGATAATTATGACTCTATTGACGCGTACTTGACTGACATTCTGAGTACTCAATCAAAGTTAATTCAGTATGGCAAAGGGCTTGACGATGAGTTTGTTGCTGCTTTGATGTTGATTGGTTTGCCAAGTGAATTCAAGTCATTGAGATTGACCATTGAAGGCACAGATGGTGCACTGACGTCTGACAATGTTCGACAGAAGCTTCAGGACCTTTCAACAGAAGATACTAGTTTTGGAAATGACACAGCTATGGTAGCTCAATGGAAGCCATTTACTAAGAAGCCGGCTGGAAAATGTTTTTACTGTAATAACCCAGGTCATTTCAGTCGTGATTGCAGGATTCGCAAAAGAGACGAGAAGAATGGGAACAGTGGGAACAACGGCAACAACAGTGGCAACAACAACAAGCCCAAGAATCAAGAGAACAAATCTGGAAAGAATGGCAACAACAACAACAACGGTAAGAAGGGTAAGAATAGTGCACATTTAGCTGAAGATAACCATGTATTATGTGCAGTTGACGAAGAAGCAGACTTGACCATTGCACTAGAAGAAGCCCTCTTATCAGTAAATGACCACAGCCGAGTGAGCCCTTGGTACGTCGACTCAGGAGCAACCAAGCACATGTGCAGAGATGAGGTTATGTTTGTGTCCATGAGTAAACCTACAACTAACCTAAAAGTTTCTGTAGCCAACAACATGAAGGTCCCTGTCACAGGCACAGGTGATGTGAAGTTGACTCTTGATGTTGGTTCTCGTTGTCTCAAAGATGTTCTGTTCGTTCCAGAGCTTTCCAGCAACCTACTTTCAGTATCAGCCATGATTGACAAGGGATTGAGTGTGCAGTTTAGCCAGACGGGATGCACTGTCACCACTCAAGCCGGACAAGTTTTGTTAACTGCTAAGAAGTGTGGAGGACTCTTCCGAGTGGATGTCAGGACTGAAGAGACTACTGATCATGCTTTTATTGCCAAGGTCACGCCATCAAACCAGGACCTCTGGCATCGTCGATTTGGACATCTTTGTTGGACCCAAATGCGACAACTCCAAGGTAACATTGAAGTGAGTAAAATTCAGTCTCATCAGTGCATTGTTTGTATGAAGGGAAAGATGCAGAGAGAATCATTCCCTCCCAGTAAAACCAAACGTGCATCTGAACCACTTCAACTTATCCATGCTGACTTGTTTGGACCCATGAAAGTTGCCTCCTATGGTGGAGCCAAGTTTGTTCTTCTGCTTATGGATGATCATAGTAGAAAGATATTTTCTTATCCAATCAAGAACAAGTCTGATGTGCCTGATATATTTGAGAAGTTTCAGAAGCTTGTGCAGAACCAGAAGACTGGATTCACCATCAAGAATTTCCGTTCAGATAATGGCGGGGAGTTTGTAAACAAGTGTTTGGCACAGAGCTTTGCCAAAGCTGGAATTATTCACCAGACATCTTCACCTCATACTCCAGAACAGAATGGTTCAATTGAGAGAGCGAATCGCACTGTAATTGAAATGGCTGCTTGTATGTTGATTGACTCTGGTAGAGATTTCAGGCTGTGGGCGGAGGCTGTGAATGCTGCTGTTTATGTGAGAAACCGTTCGCCATCATCAGTCCTGAATGGAATGTCACCTGAAGAGGCTTGGAGTGGAAATCCTGTGAGTTACGATGAGCTGAAGGTTTTTGGATGTAATGCCCTTGTCTATATTCCCTCAGGAGAGCGAAGGAAACTGGAAGCCAAGGCTAAGGAGATGATCTTTGTGGGATATGCAGAAGCATCGAAGGCCTACAGATTCATCGACCCAAGTTGCCCTGGAGGAAGAGTGACTAAGTCTTGCCATGCCAAGTTCGTCGAGGATCAAGTGGGGGAGAAGCAAGATTTGTCCAAGGCCGTTTCACATCCATTTCTGATTGAAGACACCACAATCATCATTGAGGAGCCAGCTGAGCCAGCTGTTCCATCTGAGGAAACACCAGAGGGTAATAATGAATCTGAGAATATTACTTCAAATGACATTTCTGATTCCAGTGAAGCGAGTAGCACCGAGGAGTTGTCCAACCAGGATCAAGGTGTGCCATCACGTCGTGCTTCCTCTCGTGAAAGGAAACCGAAGCGTGATCCTGATATGGTGTACTACACTGACAAGAAGAAGAGCCTGGAACATCGAGCTTTTGCAGCCTTTGAAGAATTTGTGTCAGATGACCCAAAGACTGTTCAAGAAGCTCTCAGCAGGCCTGATGCAGATCAGTGGACTAAAGCAATGGATGAAGAAATGTCTTCACTGAAGGGAAACAACACCTGGACTGTAAGCTCCTCTCCCCCTGGTAAGCCAGTAATTTCTACTAAATGGGTGTTTAAACTGAAACGGAATGCTAGTGGTGAACCTATTAGGCACAAGGCCAGGTTAGTAGCCAGAGGGTACAGTCAAGTTCAAGGCACTGATTACTTTGAAACCTTTTCACCCACTATTAGGCACTCCAGCATTCGCCTATTGTTTTCTCTTGCTGCAAGAAATGAGTGGTTGATTGACCATGTTGACATCAAGACTGCATTTCTACAAGGCAAATTGGAAGAGGATGTGTATATTAGGCTGCCAGAGGGGAGTGTGAAGGGTGATGAAAGAGTGTGCAAACTAAACAAAGCTATTTATGGTTTGAAACAGGCGTCCCGGACTTGGTTCAAGACTCTAGAGAAGGCACTGGAAGAGATGGGATTCAAGAGCTGCGTCAAGGAGCCCTGCTTGTTCTACAAGAATCAAGGTGACCACATTGTTATCCTGACTGTTTATGTTGACGATTTGCTCATCTTCTCCAGATACAGAAGCCATCTGGAATTGACCAAGACCCGACTTGCTGAGAGATTTGACTGCAAGGACCTTGGACCAGTCAGCGATTATCTTGGCGTCAGAATTCAAAGGGACACCGCTGCTGGCACAATCTCTCTGGATCAAGAAGCCTACGTGGAAGAGATTCTTGCAAGATTCGGCATGACAGACTGCAACCCCTGTTTGGCTCCACTTCCTGCGGACCAGAAGCTGCCAGCGAGTGACAAGGAAAGTAGCTGCGACAAGCCCTATCAATCTCTTATTGGAAGTCTAATGTATCTTGCTGTTTTCACCCGGCCTGATATCATGCATGTAGTGTCGCTGCTCAGCCAGTTCAACAATGGATACACCGATGCTCACTGGGGCCTCGCAAGAAGAGTGTTGAGGTACCTTAAGGGATCGGCAGATTGTAAATTGACCTTTTCTAAATCTGGTGATTTTTCTTGCTTCTCAGACGCTGATTGGGCCAACTCCAAAGATGACAGGAGATCTTTCAGTGGCTTTGCTATTTTGCTTGGAGGCGCCGCCATTTCATGGGGTTCAAAGAAGCAAACCAGTGTGGCCTTGAGCACTTGTGAGGCGGAGTTTGTAGCCCTCACTGAGGTCGTCAAGGAGGCCATGTTCCTTGTGAGCGTTATGGAAGACATGCTCAAAACACCACAGGAACCCGTCAAGGTGTGGTGTGACAACCAAGGAGCAATCAAGTGGTGCCATCAGGAGGGCACCTGTGGCAAGCTCAAGCACATTGACATCAGGCTATTCTTCATTAAGGACCTTGTGGCCATGAAGTTGCTTGATGTGCAGCACATCTCGACAGCAGAACAACCAGCAGATGTTCTCACTAAACTGCTACCTGCACCTAAGCATCGTTTTTGTGCCTCTAAACTAGGTATTTACTTGTAATGCTTATTGTGTGCAGTATGTTCTCTGTCTTACCTCAGTTCTCTTGTGCTCAATTTCCATCTTGTAATTTTTGAGTTTTTAAATTTTTGTTT